ATTAATTAAGTTATCAGTTCTGGATTTTAGAGAAGCAATATGTAATGAATCGATTTTTAAAAGCACAAAACAATTAAGAAACGTAATTATAGATCATTTTTTGTCCTTTTTGGAAAAAAGTCTTTAAGGTTTAGTGTTTTGAAAAAATAAATTTAAGTTTCACAAATTTAACAAAATATTTATTAAATAATTTCATGCTGAATAAAATTATTAAGTTATTACTTTTTGATTTAAAAAAAAGTTATAAAAATAGATTAATTTTGATGACACACATCTAGTACCGAAATGTATTTTACCATCTAAAACAAATTGTTTTGAATGGAAAAGAAAGTTTTGCAGATAAATTATTATTAATGTTTTTAAAACGTTTGCTTTTCTCTTATTTATATTTTAGTATCACTTTTCGTCATTATATAAAAAATGCTTTAATTTAAATGTAATATCATTTAGTTTATTTTTAATATCAGGTTGTGAATGTGAGAAATGTTAAGGAGACAACTGTTAATTATATATATATATTAGCATATATATATATATATATGCTAATAAAAATAAAAATATTTAATGACATTTCTGTGTTAATTTAATAATATTGGAACTTACAATTAGATACAGATTTTTATTTATATAAAATTTGTAATTTTTAAAAATGCAAACACATTGGAAGAGATTTTTTTGCCACATTCTTAAATCATTTAGAAATTTTAAAATTGTATTTTGTATATCCAAAAACATTTTGTTTACTTTCTCCAATATGCATTAATCACAGTTGAACAATTGATTTTTGTCAATTTAAAGTTTTGAACTGGAAAACTGTATAAAAGTTGTCTTTGCTTTATTATCTAGCATATCATTCTTCTATATTTTATTTGCCAGTTTTGATTAATTATATATTAATTAAATATATAATAGTTATATAATTAAATTTTACAAATTTAAAATTAATCACATGATTTTTTTTATTAAAAACTGTCTTAAGACCTTGGACAATATTATTCTCCACAGAAATTTCTTACGGTTTAAATACTTTCTACACTTAAGCACATTATAAAATTTATTCTTATAAAATATTATATATAATTCTTGTAAATATTATTATTATAAAACTCTTCTGTTTAGATCCTAATTTAACACACTTAAACAAAATTAATAGTTGTCTCCTAATTTAAAATCTATAATTTAGATATCACATGTTTTTTTATAAATAAATTGGTGTACTTATTATAATAATATTATGTAAAAAAATTATAATATTATTATATTAGTCACACCGAAAAGTCCATCACATATTTAAAAGCCTATTCTGGGATGTATAAATAAAATGGATAAAAAATCTTATTTAGTAAGACGGATCTAAAATTGTCTAATATATTATAAGATAATATTTATTTAACAGTTGATTTTTTATGGTTCATAGAACAAAAATTTGTAAAAATACTATTTTTATACAAATTAATAGAACTCACATAATTTTAGTGATTTATTATTATTTTGTATAAATATATTTGTTTCATAAATTAATTCACAAAAATTGGTGACCCCAATATGATAAAGCAAACAATTGCAAGGGCACAATGAAGAACAGAAAAAAAGCTAATTGAAGTTTACATTAACACAAATTAATAAAACCTCTTATATAAAAAAATATGTAAATATGTCATGACTCATTTGTTCAATTTGCGATAAATTTCGTCAGCTAGATATCAGGTCGTCAAATAAGATTATTTTTTTAAATTATTTTTTGCACCCCAGAATAGACTTACCAAACCAATGTACATTATTATCCTGTTACATATATCTATACAAAGTGAAGAGAAAAGCTAAAAAGATTTGATTGATGAAGCTTTATTATGAATTTAGAGAAAAAAAAGAGTACAATATTTCTGCCAGATTTTTTTTTACACCCAAACAAACCAACAGCAAATGTATCTAATTATTTTTGTTGCTGATTTGTTTGTGTTTTAAAAAAAATCGGCATATATGACAAATAGTGATTGGTACAATTTTGTTTATTGTCAATATAAAATATATTTAATTTAATAAAAAAAATTATATAAGTAGATTTAGTTTGTATGATTATTGTGTAGGGAGTATTTTGAATGTCTTGCATTGATTTTGGTAAATGAGGTAAATGATTTATGAGTAATGGCTTCTTAATGGATATATATATATATATATATATATTATATATATAATATATATATATATATATATATTTATATATATCACACAGCATTGGTTCACAGGAAAAAGAATCAATAAGGAAATCAGATTTACAGAATTTAATTACATTTCAGTATTTTTCTAAAAGTAACCAAAAAGAACTACGTTTATTTTCACAATTTGAATTTAAAAATATAAAACAAGATTCGGCAAATCTTCTAAAGTCCACATTTTTTCCTTTATATAAAATTATAGGATGGCCAGGATGGTTAAAAGAGTGTTTAAAATTATAATGTGCTCAGAAAACATTGTTTTAAATTGTTTGGATTTTTTGAGTTATTAATATTCTGATTTATTTTTTGCTTATATATTGGGAACAATAAATCCTAAATTTAAAAGATAAAACAAGATTTGGAAAATCTTCTAAGGTCCACATTTTTTCTTTCATAGAAAATTATAGGATGGTCAGGATTGTTAAAAGAGTGTTAAAATTAATAATGTGTTCGGAAAACATTGTTTTAAATTGTTTTGGATTTTTTGAGTTATAAATATGCTGATTATTTTCTTGCTGGTATAATGAGAAACATATATATTATATATGTATATATAATATATATATATATATAACATATATATTACAAGAAGCTATTACTGTTATTTTGTGATTTAAATTTATAAAAACGCTTAAACAAAAAAAAAATCAATGCAAGAAAAAATCGCTGCCTTTCTTAACTCTTCTTTATTCTAGTTGCTCTAATTTTAATATATTTAGTTTTAAAAATTTATCCATTATATTTTTGCGAAAGGTTTATTTATAAATTATTAATAAATAAATAATTTATGATAAATATTTCTTATTTTTAAATGTGCTGTGCATTGTACGCTTTTCGCAAAGGGAAAATGATAAATGATAAATATTTCTAAGTTGGAATTTGTTGGGAAGAGCCATATTTTTTTGGATTTAGAATCATTTTATATTTTTGAAATTTATAATATTTATATATATATATATATATATAAAATTTTTATCAAAATCTATTTTATTAATATTTTGAAAGAATTGTGTAAAATTTGCTTAAAGTATGAGCTCTCTATATATGAATTTTAATGTTGAAATGTTTTTAATCTTAGAAATATATGGAGTACATGATATGTAAATAAAATGCAAAATAAAAATTATAATACTTGAAATAAACTTTTTATAAATTTCAATTTTGTAAAAATATCTTTGGTTAAACTTGTTTTTCTTTGAAGAATCTCATTTGAATTTTGTACCATTTTGATTTTTGTTTGAATGGTTTTAAAATTGTGAATTATTTAGTGTTCTGGATCTTATAAGTCATGAGTATATGTTGATTGTATTGAAAAATTAGCAAGATCTTTTTTTGAAGTAAAACTTATTTAGGCGCACTAGAGAGTAAATCTGTGCAAATGCAACGGAAGAGCGTTACGCTCGAGTCGAGTGCCAATGATTCGTCATTCGCTCTCGATATCTTTTCTTTCTCGATTGTGATTGGTCGTCGTGTCACGTGAGCGTCTTAGAGTGAAGAAAAGACTAGCAAGATCTGTTTTTTATATATTGTCAAATCTAATTGACAGAAATTATGTTGATAATTTTGCATACATTTATTGTCAATCAAAACATACATTATTTACAATATGCTGGGTTATTCTAGTAAAATAGATGACTTGTTTTACTTGTTTCTTGGTACTAAAAACTGTGAAAATGTCTATCTCGTTTTACCGGAAAATTGGCTTTTAAATCTGCATATTTTTCAAATATTCACGAGACCCAAAAATCCTTTCTAGAACTTCCTTCTTATCTAGAACATCCTTTTATTTTTAAATTTAAGTTTTCACCATAAAATTTATCATTATCCAAATTTTTGTTAAAAAATCTGTCAATTTTCTAAATGACACCAAATTTTTATTTGACTCACACAGTTTAGTTATGTTTTATTTTATAAACAATCCAAAATCATACATAAATTTAAACGTCACGAGTGACATTTTTTTCAAAATAATGTTTGTAATTTTTTTTTTATTTAATTTATGTTTATATTGTAATTTGTATTTGACTTTGCGACTCATATTTGCCGACGTAAGTAGAAAATAGATTGTAAAAAATCTTTTTCTTAAATAAATAAAGATATACAGTAATAAAATAGTAGCAGGCACAAATTTTGGATGTAAAAAGGAAAAATGCAATATTTTATAAATAATTAATAAGTAACAATTGCATTTCTAAGATATTTATGAAAATGCACATTACTCCAAAGTTTATAACCATTCAATTTTGTCAAAGACTTATAATCAATGTTTCATAAAATTTTAGTGAATTCAGCAAGTTTTGTTTAAATGTATCCTAAAAACTTGCATTTCAATAAATATTTTAGATAAAACATTTTTAAGAACAACAAAAATTTCCAAGAACTTTTCTTCACTCCTTAAATGCCCTTTAAAAATGCTTTTAGAACGAGCCTAAAGTCCCAATTGGCCCAAAAATGTTTATATAATACATAAGGAACAAAAATTTTATTTATTTTATTACTGTATACATCTAGTACATTCATTAATTTTTTTTTTTTTTTGATAGCATGACCTCATAAACTTGGATTACAATTTTGATGGATTTGCAACCTTCATCGATCGAAGAGCACCCTAAGTCGCCACTTTGGGGATCATGCAGGTATAAAAATAACAGACATTTATATATATTAGGGCTGTTTTTAATATGAACATTTTAAATTCTTTGCTCCCAAGGGCTCAAATTCTTCCAAATAATAAAAGAAAATTCTCTGAAAGTTTTGGCTCTCAATATTAATATTTAGATTGTCCGCAATTCAATTAGAAGTTAAAAATCACTTATATATATTTTTTAAATTTTTTTTTAGGTTGACGCTGAGTGTCTGTGCCTTTCTGGTCCTGGTCAACATGATTATGACCAGATACTCCTTGGCCCTAACTTTGATCTGTATGGTGAGAACACAGGATGCCGAAACCAGTCTGGTAATTCTATCGGATAATAACAAATGCCCGAATTGCAGACAGGAATATAGAAAGGTAAAGAACTTAATAAAAAAAATTCATCTAATAGTAATTTATTTTTGATTTGAGTCTATTTTTTCCCCAGTATGACTTCGATTGGCAGCCAAACGTTCAAGGGCGCCTGAACGCAGCAATTTTCTACGGCTTCATCACAACGCAACCATTTGCAGGTTACTTTTGCGACAGATTTGGCGGCAAGTTGCTCTTCGTAATTGCTGCGGGTATGCAAGGCATCTGCAGCTTGTTTTGCCCGGTTGCAGCAGATTGCATGTGGAATTTTTGTTTGTCTTGAGGATCATTCAAGGGTGCTTCTCGGTAAGGGATGAATAATCCACAACTTGATTGCCGGATATACTTGTCATGATAAATTATATGAACTGGTTGATTATTATTGTTTTAGGGTTTTACTATTCCGGCAATGTACGCCTTGTTTTCCAAGTGGACGCCTCCAAAAGAGAAGACGCTGCTTTTGGGTTTTGCCTACAGTGGTTTTCCAATGGGTAACATCATTGTTTATCCTTTGTCGAGTGCACTTTGTAGACTTGATTTTGATGGGGGTTGGCCCTTGGTTTTTTATTGTATAGGTAAGAAGCAGATTAATTAATAATAATTTTTAAGGGGGAGGATTTTTTTAGATCTCATCACTTAAATATTGTTTTTGAATAAACTTGTACTGGTGTCTAACTGGAAATTGATAAAGCAAGTATTGTATCGTATTTTTTAACAATGCTATTTTAAAGCCCAAGTTCATGGTGACAAAATGTCAAAATTGCGGAATTTCACAATTGAAGAATTTTAGAATCGCAGTGTTTTAAATTTGCAGAATTTTAGAATTACAGTATTTCTAGAAGAATCGCAGTACTATTTTAGGAATTGCAGGATTTTAAAATTGTAGTATTTTAATAATTGCAGTATTTTAAGAAATGCAGTATTTTAAGTATGGAAGTATTTTAGGAATTTCGGTATTTTAGGAATTGCTGTATTTTAAGAATAGCAGAATTTTAGAATTGCAGAATTGCAGTATTTTAAGAATTGCAATATTTTAAAATTGCAGAATTTTAAGAATTGCAGAATTTTAAAATTGCAGTATTTTAAGAATTGCTGTATTTTAAGTATTGCTGTATTTTAAGTATTGCTGTATTTTAGGAATTGCAGAATTGTGGAATTGTAGAATTGCAGAATTGTATAATTGCAGAATTTTAGACTTTCAGAATGTTAAAATTGCAGAATGTTAAAAATTGCAGAATGATAGTGTTTTAATAATTGCAGTGTTTTAATAATTGCAGTATTATAAGAATAACAGTATTTTAAGAATTGCAGTATTTTAAGAATGGCAGAATTTTAGGAATCGCAGAATTTTTAAATTGCAGTAATTTAAGAAATGCAGAGTTTCAAGAATTGCAGTATTCCACAATTGCAGTATTTTAAGGATTGCAGAATTTTAGAATTTTAGAATCGCAACATTTTAAAATTACAGAATTTTAGAATTGCAGTATTATAAGAATTGCAATATTTTAAAAATTGCAGAATTTTAAGAATTGCAGATTTTTTAATTGCAGAATTCCACAATTGCAGAATTGTAGAATTGTAGAATTGCAGTATTTAAGGATTGCAGAATTTTAAGAATTGCAGAATTTTAAAAATCGCAGAATTTTAAAATTGCAGAATTTTAAAGTTGCAGAATTTTAGAATTGCAGAATGTTAGGATTCACAATTCCACAATTGCAAAATTTCACAATTATAGAATTTCAAAATCGCAGAGTTCCAAATTACATAATTTTATGTATGGTATTTTTCAACAATGCTATTTTAAAGTAGAGGGCAAAAGATGTGTAACCAGCATAAATGACCACATTGTCAATTTTATAACATAATTCAGAGTCGTTATTTCTTCCATCACCAAAAACAATTTGGGTTTTAACAATGCTATTTTAAAGTAGAGGGCGAATGATATGTAAACATCAGCTATGGCCTTGAATTCGGTGACGTCGTTATCACGAGATATATTGCTGCATTGTCAAATTCTCCATAAAAATATTTTTGGGTTGTTATATTTTTTTGGTTTTGAGCACTGTTGTTTAGTTTACAAGACCTGAATACAATTTTTAAGTACACAAAGTATTATTTTACTATTTTATAAATTTTTTTTTTTTTTTTTAGGAAGCTTTGCCATCATATTGGGCATACTTTTGTACTTCCTTACTTTTGACGATCCAAGTGATCATCCAAGAATTTCAGAAGCTGAAAGGAATTATATAAAGTCCTATCATATGAAGAAGTTCTCAAAGGTAATTATAGTAATTAGAAATAAAGACGCTACTTTACTATGTTTTTCCACTGGAACTCTTTAAAGCAAAATTTATTCCCTCAATGTCAATCATTGTTCTTCCTTTTTACTGACACTCTTTATTGCAAATTCTGATTCCATCAAAGATGTTAATAATAAGACAACTTTGCTCATCCTTTCCACTGAAATTTCTTAAAGTTAATTTTACTGTTAGTACGGTTTTCTTTGAAAGTTTGGCCTGTCTTACGTTTTGTGATGTTATTTATTTTTGTCTTCAACTAATCGAGCAATTGTGTACTCCAGTAATTTGCTAGTTGATCATTAATTTTGTTCAAAAACCATCTACTTTAGCTTTCAGCAGATATTGGATACAACAATTAAATAATCATTTACTTCTTCATCACTGCCAAATTTTCATTTATCCATAATTTAAAAAAAATCCTGAGCTCAATAATTAAATAATTGGCTAGTATCTTGTCCATTTTCGGACGTTACATTTATTATCCTCCTTTATATTTTTCAAATATCCAATTTTTTCCAGAAACTGAAGACACCCTGGATTTCGATGCTAAAATCAATGCCAATCTACGCCTACAATGTTGCCCATTTTGCCCAATCCTGGAGTTTCATCACATTGGCCACCAGTATTCCAATGATGCTAAAGGATATGCTGGGACTTGATATGAAATCGGTATGATGATAAAAATTATCACTATAATATTATTATTATTTGCTTTTATTTTATATCAAATCATCAGAATACGGATATCATTTTAATGAAAATACTATATCCTTTATTTTGTACACTATTTTATTTAAATTTATGTTATTGTTCATGATTGTTACTATATGTTAAAATATTTAGCAGTTGTAACAAATATTGTAATTTAAAAAAAACTAATAATATATTAAATTTTTTTTATATATTTTGTTGTTCTTTTTCCAGAATGGTTTTTTGTCAGCTCTGCCCTATATCTGCAGCTACATCTCCAGATTCACGATTTCCGTCACTTTTAACCCCATAAAACGACTGACCAGGTTGAGTTTGACGAATATGAGGAAGGTTAATCATGTTCTAGGTGAGTATATGAGTTGGATGATCATTTTTGTACTGAAATGTCCAAGTTTTTTGAATCTAAAATCGCTCTAATTATGATGTTTTAATATATCTATATATCAAATATAATCTAGTCCAATGGAGTATATTGTAAAAAGCAGAATTTTAAGATTGCAGTATTTAGGAATTGCAAAATTTTAGAATTGCAAATTCTAGAATTGCTGAAATTTAAAATTGGTTAGAATTGCAGAATGTTAGAATTGCAGAATTTTAAATTTGCAGAATTTTAGAATTGCAGGTTTTTAAAATTGCAGTATTTTAAGAAATGCGGAAATTTAGATGTGCGGAATTTTGGAATTGAAGAAATTTAAGATTTCCACTATTTTAAGAACCGCAGAATTTTAAAATTGCGGAATGTTAGAATTTTAGAATTTTAAAATTGCAAAATTCCAAAATTACACAATTCCAAAATTACACAATTTCAGAATTGCAGAATTCCAGAATTGCAGAATTCCACAATTGCAGAATTCCAAAATTGCAGACTATAAAATTGCAGAATTCTACTATTGTAGAATTCTAGAATTGCAGAATTTTTTAATTGTAAAATGACACAATAGCAAAATTTCAAATTTGATAAATTCAGAAATTGCAAAATTTCATATTTGAAAAATTGCATAAATTGCCGACATTTGAATTTACTGAATTCTAAAATTGCAGAATTCCATACTTGAAGAATTGCACAAATTACAGAATCCAAAATTTATTAAATTGCAGAATTCCAAACTCAACAAAATCACAAAATGCAGAATGACGTAATCGAGAAATTGCATAAATTGCAGAGTTTAAAATTCAATAAATTCTGAAGTTGCAAAATAGCATAATTGAAAATTTGCATAAATTGCAAAAATCTATAAAAATCACAGAATTCCATATTTAACAAATTCTGAACTTTCAAATTCCGTAATCGGATAATTGCATAAATTGCAAAATCTTAAAACTGAAGAATTCCAAAATTGAAAAATTTTAAAATTATAAAATTACATTCCAGAATTGCAGAAGTTAAAAAATGTAAAATCACAATCCAGAATTGCAAACTTCTAAAATTGTAAAATTACACAAATGAAAATATCTAATTTGACGAATTCTAAATTGCACAAAATTTCATAAATTCCAATATTTCAAATTGGCCAAACTCTGAAATTGCATAATACCATTGATTGTAGATTTATATAATTTAATAAATTCTGAAAATACAGAATCTTATAATTGTGAAATTATAGAATTAAAAATATCTAAATTTGATAAAATCTGAAATTGCAGAAATTCATAATCAGAAAAAACATACATTTCAAAAATTCAAATTCAATAAATTCTGAAAAAACAGAATACTGTAAATTGCAGAATTCCATAATTTATTAAATTCTGAAAATACAGAAAACTATAATCAAAAAATTGTATAGTTTGCCGAATTCTAAAAATGTAAAATAATAAATTTATGAAAATTAAATAATATATATTAATAATAAAATAATAATTAAATAATAAATTAATAGAATTACAACATTCAAAATTGCAGAAATTTAAAATTGTAAATTTACAAATTGTGAAATTCTGAAAGTCCTGAATTTGCAAAATTCTGTAATCAGAAAACTGCAGAATTTTATATTTATGAAATTTTACAATTGAAAATATCTAAATTTGATAAATTTTGAAATTACAGAATTCCATAATGAAAAAGTTGCACAAATTACTGAAATTTAATAATGCAGAATTTTCAATTTGTACTATTACACAATCCCCAAAATGCAAAATTTTAAAATAACAGCATATCAGAATTTCAGATTGTAATTAGTCAGATATTCAAAATTTTAAATTTGTGAAATTGAAAAATTTTATAATTGAAAATTGCAAAAAACTGCAGAAGATTACTGAATTGTAAGATTTGAAATATGCAAAATTATGCAATTGTAAAAAAAAATAAATTCTAAATTACAAATTAACTAAATTTCACATTTGCTAAGTTTGAAATTGACCAAGTGTCATAAATGTATATTTCCAATTGTAATATTCCTAAGTTGCAAGATTCCAAAAAATTCCTACATTGCAAAATAAATGTGTAAGCGCGTGTGTACGTGCTGGGAAGTACCAGCAATTTGCCTTAAGGCACGATGCCATACACCACTAGTCCAATTCCAATCAACCAACCACCAATAATCTTTTCCCATCCCCAGGCACCGCCATCCCAGCCTTGAGCCTACTCTGTCTCGGCCTAATAACCAGAGAAGACAAATTCTGGGCAATCCTGTTGATATCCTTATGCACAACATTCACCGACGTCGGCCTGACAGGCTCATACCTGATGAGCTACCTGGAACTGGCTCCACCTTTTGCCAGTTTCCTAACAGGATTCTCTAATACTGTCGGATCTCTTCCTGGATGCGTTTCTAACACATTGACTGGATACTTAACCACTAATGTAAGTAGATAGGGTAAAAGATAGAGGATATTTATGTTTGTGTTTGAAGTCGTTCTGAATCGTTTGTGTGTAATTATAATAATGAAATTAAAGTCATACTTCAAATACGACATGATCGGTTTGTCATTGTAATTAGCGTTTAGGAAAAGAAATGAAGTAACTGCTGATTCATAACTTTTATAATATTTATTCACACAGTGGATTATGTTAAACAACGCCTAAACAAATATTGTTTTCGCAACTTCACTCATCATGTAATAATTGTGTTTGAAGAACTTCATGTAATTAAAATTAACATACATTCATTGACTGCTTGTATTTTTTTTGACTATTTCGCTGGCTATACAGTCTCATTCTTTGAACAGATATAATATCTGTCTTGCCTAAAAAATTGAAGCCATACTTTTATATTTGTTTTATTTATCAAGCCCTGCACATGGCTTGATCTATGAATCATTTTCTTTTTTATGTGAACGTTAGTTAATGCATGATCATCATCAATATTACGAGGTAATAAATTAACCATATTATTAATGTCAACAGGCACATTTATAATTTGGCCAAATATTCCAAATTGTCCATTTGAAAGTCGCAATTTTAAAAATGTGTATAATATTTAAAAACAATAATGTAATTAAAGTCATACTTCAAATATGTCATGATCGGTTTGTCATTGTAATTAGCATTTAGAAATGAACTTTTGTTAGAGAAATGAAGTAATTGCTGATTAATAAATTCTATAATTTTCGTTAAACAACGCCTAAACAAATATTGTTTTCGCAACTTCACTCATCATGTAATAACTGTGTTTGAAGAACTTCATGTAATTAAAATTAACACACATTCATTGACTGCTTGTATTTTTTTGACTATTTCGCTGGCTATACAGTCTCATTCTTTGAACAACTGCAATATCTGTTTTGCCTAACAAATATTTTCCATTTTAATAACGAATCATTACCTGGATGCGTTTCTAACACATTGACTAGATACTTGACCACAAATGTAAATAGATAGATCAATAGATAAAGGATATTTATGTTGGAGTTTGAAGTCATTCTAAATCGTTTGTGCGTAATATTAATATGAAATTAAAGTCATACATCAAATACGACATGATCGGTTTGTCATTGTAATTATCATTTACGACTTGAACCTTTTTTAGAGAAATGAAGTAATTGATGGTTAATAAATTCTATAATATTCACACAGAAGACAGCTGTAATACAACAATCTTAAATAATTTCATTAACACTATCAATAAATAAATTGCATAGATGATATTAGGTTGTCAAATATCTCCCTTCCGCCTCTTTGTCTTCTGAATTATAACTGTTGAACGCAATATCCAAACTAATCATGCATAGCGTCGTTTTGTAGGTTATGTCAAGACCTTTCAAATTATGTATAGTATTGCCAGATACGAGCTCTGTAGCGCTTTGTACATAGCCGCGAAATTCAAAAGACAAAAAGGCGGAAGGGAGATATTTGACAACCTTATATTATGAAGTATATCTGTCTATAAATGCTGTCTCGTTTTCTACTCGTCGAGACCTTTTCAAACGAAACCCCACATGCCATAAAAATTTAATCTAAATTTTTTGAAGTAAAACTTCTTTAGGCACCTATGCTAGAATTCGTAAAAAGTTTTGTTGGTTTTAGTATTTACTACATCCCAGTTATTAAAGAAATCAAATCATACTACAAACTATTGTTGTTCTTGATTTCTTGTTTAGAGTAATAAGTCTGAATATAAATTTAATCTTCATTATTTATAAAAATATGCAACTTTGAAATACTTTACGTCAGGATCAGTAAAACGAAATTGTAAGCTTTGACAGTAAAATATCATTAAATTACCAATTTCTTCTTATCGTGTAATTTCTCCCATTTTTTGTCCTAATTTTTAGAAATAATAATTAATCTATTATTATACTTCATGTAATTACAATTAACATACATTCATTGACTGCTTGTATTTTTTTTACTTTTTCGCTGGCGATATCGTCTCATTCTTTGAACAGTTGTAATATCTGTCTTGCCTAAAAAATATTTTCCATTTTAATAACTTCATTTAAAGATTTATAGAAACTACAAGTCCATTTCTTATTTTATTTTTAGTTTTGCTCGTCAGTAGAGTTCCTTTTTAATGTTTATTTTCAGATTGCTCGTCAGTAGAGTCCATTTTTCTTTAATTTTTAATTTAATCATCAGTAGTCTCTTTGAATTTTATTTTTATTTTACTCGTCAGTAGAGTCTCTTTGAATTTTATTTTTACTTTACTCGTCAGTAGAGTCCCTTTTTCTTTAATTTTTAGTTTGCTCGGCAGTAGAGTCCCATTTTCGTTCATTTTCAATTAAATTATCAATAGAGTTTTTTTTTCTTTCATTCTTAATTTTTATCAGTAGAGTTTATTTTTCTTTTATTTTTAGTTTTGCTCGTCAGTAGAGTCCCTTTCAGTATGCTCGTCAGTATAGTATCTTTAGTAGTCAGTAGAGTCTTTTTGAATTGTATTTTTATTTTCCTCGTCAGTAGAGTCCGCCTCTTTTTTAATTTTTAGTTTGGTCGTCAGTAGAGTCCCTTTTTTATTTACGAATAATATAGAAATAATATCTAATCAATAAACTTAAGTTTCTACACGACACAAGTTTAATTTGTTTTATTATTTTTAAGGGACAGGGTAAAATATTCTTCCGATTCAGGCATTTTTCATTAAATCAAGATTTGTACTACGACGTAACTTTGAAATGTTTATTTATCTATGCGATTTTCTTGTTGATGCCGGTACGCATACAACGACAGATCTCTATTCACTCTACACGACGACTAATCACAATCGATCAGTATAGAAATGATATCATCGAGAGCGAGACATGACAAACCATTGGCATTCGACTCTTATTATATCGACTTTTATCTGCAGTAACGCACTTCCGTTGCAGTTGTATGGACTTACACTCTATTCGCGCCTGAAGAAGTTTTACTTCAAAATATTTTACAAAGTTTAAACAATTATAAGATAGTAGAAGATATAAAAAATGAAAATTTCAAGTTAGTAGAAAATATATCAAGATTTTACCAAAAAAGTTCAGCATATCTATACAGTTTTTGACATTTTTAAAAAAAAAAAGTTGGTTTCTTAATTTTCATTTCCTACCATACTGTTAATCATAATTCATTTTCTTAATGTCTAAAACTCCTAATAAGCGTATTGCTGATACTATTTATAAAATGAGTTGTAACGATTGCAATTGTTCTTATATTGGTAAAAGTTCACAATATTTATTTATTTATTTATCATATAGTCCACCGAGTAGCTCCAGGAGGACTTAAAAAATTTAATTTTAATAATTCATATATAATAATACTTAATAATAGCATTAAAAATGTGTATAATATTTAAAAACAATAATGTGATTAAAGTCATACTTCAAATCTGACATGATCGGTTTGTCATTGTAATTAGCATTTACGACTTGAACCTTCATTAGAGATGTGAAGTAATTGCTGATTAATAATTCTATAATATTCTGTAATAAACGCCTAAACAAATATTGTTTTTGCAACTTCACTCATCATGTAATAATTGTGTTTGAAGAACTTCATGCAATTAAATGAACATACATTCATTGACTGCTTGTATTTTTTTGACTATTTCGCTGGCGATAGAGTCTCATTCTTTGAACAGTTGTAATATCTGTTTTGCCTCAAAAACATTTTCCATCTTAATAACTTCAAAGATTTATAGAAACTGCGAATAATATAGAAATAATTTCTATAAGATTTTGAAAATGCAGAATTCTAGAATTGCAGAATTTCCCAATTGCAGGCTTCCACAATTGCAAACTTCCACAATTGCAGAATTCCAAATTACAGAATTTTAGAATCGGAAAATTTTTGAATCGCAGAATTTTAGAATTGCAGAAGTCCACATTTGCAGAATTTCACAACTGCAGAATTCCAAATTTGTAGAATTTTAGAATTGCAGAATTTCACAACTGCAGAATTTTAGAGTTGCAGAATTTTTTGAATTGTAAATGACACAATAGCAAAATTTCAAATTTGTTAAATTATAAAATTGCAGAGATCCATACTCAAAAAATTTCATAAAATACACAAATCTAAATTTATTAAATTTTAAAATTGCTGAATTGTATAAATTGCAGAAATCTAAATTTAATAAGTTCTAAAATCGCTGATTTTTATACTCAAAAAATTACATAAATTGCAGAATTCAAAACTTATTACATTAAATATGCACAAATCTAAATTTATTAAATTTTAAAATGGCAGAATTTCATATTCGACAAATTGCATGAATTGCAGAAATCTAAATTTAATAAATTCTAAAATTGCAGAATTCAAACTAATTACATTCTAAAATTGCAAAATTACATAAACAGAAAATTACATAAATTGCAGAATTTCGAATTCAATAAAATCAGAAGTTGCAAAATGGCATTATCGGAAAATTGCATAAATTGCAGAAGTCTTTATTCAATTAATTCTGAAATTGCATAACTATCAAGCAATTGCATAAAATACAGAATTTAAAATTTAATAAACTCTGAAATTGCTGAATCCATATTATTTAATAAATGATGTAATTGCAGAATTTTTCAAATTTCCAAACAAAAAATAGCATGATTTGCGGAATTCTAGAAATGTAAAATACTAAATTTATGAAATTATACAATCGCAAACTACAGCATTACAGTTTTGAATGTTTGTGTGTAATCAAAATTTGTCTCTTTTAAAAACTGCTGAACTGATTTCAATAATAATAATGAAATTAAAGTCATACTTCAAATATGACATGATCGGTTTGTCATTGTAATTAGCATTTACGACTTGAATCTTCAAACAATATTGTTTTT